GTACTGGTTTTACATAAAATATTTTTTCTAAATATAAAATCTTTTTAATATTCTTAAATTTATTAGAATTAAGTATTCTTCTTAATAAGATTATAAAAAATTTAAATAATTTTAAGAAATTAAATATAAATTAATACTAAAAATTAATAAAGTTAATAAATCTATATATTATCTTAATTATAATAGAAGATTTCTATTTTTAAATTATATAAATTCTTTTAATATTTATATTTATTTTTTATTTTATTCTAATAATATATTTAAAATATTTAATCTTTTTTTACTTGAACTTATATTTACTGATATTAAGATATAATCTAATTTTTTATAATTTAATTAAAATCTTTTAGACATGTTCCCGGTGCTGCTAGAAAATTCTAGTTAAAAAATAAATATATTATTTAAATAAATAAAATAAAATTTATTGAAATATTCTTATAAAATCCAGTTAATATATTTTTAAAAAATATTAAAAATATTAATAACTTTAAATAATATAATTATCTACTTATAGAATTTATATTAGATATAGAAGATAGTTATCTATTTTTATTTTTTTAATAATATATATTTTATAAAAGATTATAAATATAATAATTTTAGTAAATCATTTAATCTCTTTAATCAAATTTAGTTTTTCATAAATTAAAGATAACAGATATTAGTCTTTTTTTATAATAATATTTAATTTATAATAATCAATATAAAAATAAAAATCTTCTCCTGGTTTCTAGATAAAAAGAACTAAGATTAATATTTAAAAAAGTATTTATTTAAATAAATTCTTTTATTTAATAACTTAATAGGTTTCTTTTATAATATAATAAAATTTTTTAATATATTATATAGGGATCATTATAGAGATTAAAATTTTTTTATCTTTTTTAATTTAATTAAATACTTAATATTTAATTAATAATATAAAAATAAAGTTCCTATATTTTTTAATTTAAAAATTTTCTAAAAAATTACTAGTATTATTCTAGTATTTTATTTTTTGAATTTAATTATCCTTAGAATACAGAGTTTTTTCTATATTTTTTGAGAATATAATAAATATTTTTATTTTTAATTATAGGATTTTTTAATTTATATTATACAAACTATAGCTGATATCTAAATTAAAATATATTCAAAATATATTATCTAGACTATCTTAACCAAGTATAATTAATAGTCTTTTTCTTCTTTAGTTTTAATAAAATTAAAATAATAAAAATTAAGTCTAATTTATACTTCTTTATATATTTTAAATTAATAATATTATATATAAAATATTTTATATTAATCATAATACAGATATTAGCTTCTTGATTGATAATAATTTAAAATTTATATATATTTTTTAAAAAATCTTTTATTTATAATATATCTTTTTATTTAGAAATCTTTATTTATAATTTTATATAAAAATTATTTTTTTAATTTTTATTTTATTTATTATCTGTAATTTTCTTTTTATAATTTATAGAAATTACTTAGACTAGAAGTCAGAGTACTAATCTTTAATAATAATCATTAATTAAAAATTTATTTATTTGATAATAAAAATAAAGATCTTTTTTTATTATAATTTTTTAATTAAAATTTACTTTGCAGAGTAAGAGTTATATTAATTTAAACTTTTAAATTGAATTATATATTTTTATTTTTCATTATATATTATTAAAATAATATATTCCTAGTTTATAATACTTTTTATATTATTTATAAAAATTACGCGAAGATTTTAGATCTATATATATATATATTAATAATTCTAATATTTTTCTTTAATTATTATCTGTTTTATATTATGATTATATTATTAATATTAATTATAATTATTTTTTATAATAGAAGCTTTTTTCTAGACTGATAATAATCTATAATAATATATAATTAATTAAATTTTCTAATATTATAATCTTAGAAATATTTTCTTATACAGTACTATTAGTCTGGATTAAAATAATATTAAAGTCTTCTAGAAAATTCTTGAAATTTTTATTATTTTATTAAAAAAAGTATGACTTTTCTAAACTTTTTATTTTTTAATTTTTACTTTTATAAGACTTATTAAGTTTTTTTATTTTTTTATAAATAATTATATTATTTATATTTTAATATTATGATAGAATTCTTCTTTCTATATTGTTTTTTAATTATTTAAATATATAGGTTACTTGGAATATATTATCAGAATATATAATTATATTTATAAAAAAATTGAACTGTAAATATGTTTTAAATTTTAAATAATTTTATTTATTATATTTATTAAATAATTTAATATTAGAATATAGGGGTCTCAGTTAAGAAATTATATATTAAAAAAATAATATTATTATAAAGTATACTACTGATAATTTATATATTGATAATACTTTATAATTTATTAATATGTTAATTTAATTATTCATATTTATTTTATTAATTTTATTAATAATAATTTTATTATTTTATTATTTATTATTCTGTTTCTTTTAACCTGCTTATAATATTAGCAAGGAACTGTAATTATATTATATTATTCATTAATTTATAATTTTATTTTATTTTATTTTATTTTATTTTATTAGTTATACAGTCAGATTCTATTTTATAAATTATTTAAATAAGTTATTTCTAATATTAGATATTACTTCTTAGTTCCAAGGGTATATTATCTTTAGATAAGAAGAAATAATTAATATTTAAATAAAGATCTCAGAATATCTAAGGTTTTATATATATTAATTAATCAGCAAATAGTAATAAGGCTGAGTAGCCAAGTTCTCTAGTAGAGACTTGTCCTGTAATATTTATAATTAATTATATATTAAATATTAATTATAATTATTTATTTTAAAGTATTTCCGAGAGAAAGTATAATAATTAAATAATAAATTTTTTCTAAAAAACAAATTATTATTATATTAAAATTAACTAGTAATTTTTAAAAATATAATTATTAAATAAAATTTGTTAAAATTTATTATTAATTATTATCTATATATTCTGGATATATAAAGATAATAATGTTTATAAAATAATAATATTATTAAAACTTCTGGAACAGAGATATCTAATATTATATAAATAATTATTAAATATATTAATATAAAAATATTTATTATAATTTATTTCTAGGCCTGCTTTATCGATTATTAATCTTTATATAATTATAAGTATATATTTTAATAAAATTTTATTTTTTTCCTGAAAAACCACTACAGCTATAATATAATCTCTATTATAATATATTATTTTAATAAATATATTATTTACATTCTATATATTAAATGATTATTTATATAAAATATAATATATTTATCTATAAATTAATTATATATCTAGACAATATCTTTAAATATAATTATTTTTAATTATAAAAATTAATTGAGAATCAATTTCTACAATAAATTTTATAAAATCTTATAAATTAGTTCAAAATTATCTATTCTATATTATCTTTAAATTAATTAACAAATAAAAATTATTAACTGAAATATAATTTAATAATTTATTTTATTTATTAATTATTTCTAAAATAATTAGTTAAAATTATTATTTTTAATTAGTTTTATTATTATTCTTTTTCTACACGAATTTACTGGACTATTATTATTTATAATAAAAAAAATTTATAAATCTAGAATATTATCTAAATAAATACTTTTCATAAATTTTTTATTATATATAATTACCTGAGATCAGGCACAGGAGTTTATTTATTTTATAAAATAAATTTAATTTTTATTTAAAAGAATATCAAAGAAATCTAAAATTAATTAATTTAATAAATAAATTATTAATATTTTTCAGCAAATTTTAATATTAATAATAAAATTTTTATTAATATAAGAAATTAATGTTAGAACTAGTATTCATAAAAACTTTCAAATAATTAATATAAATTTATTTTAATTATTAATAAAATAAATAATATATATAAAAATTAGCTTTTAAAGAAATATATACATGCACCCAATCTTTTGTTTTAAGAAATTATATTTATAAAATTTATTAAAATTCTATTTAATCAGATTCAGGATACTACTATTTCTATTAAGATTAATTATTAAATAAAATAAGAAATTAAAAAATTTATTAATTATTCATATTATAAATATGTATAGTACAGGATTAAATAGCTTATTTTAAATAAAATAAATTATATATAATATTTAATTAAAAACTCTTAAAATATTCTATTTTATTTATAAAATTATTATATTAAATATTTATTTATTTTAGATTTTTTAAGCAATTACTGCAGTGGCTGGCTATTATTAAAACTAATAAGTTTATATTAAATTATAAAGATAATAACATGCTCCTGACTAAAAATAATTAATTTTAAAAAAAGAGATAATATAATAATAAATATTTTAATTAAAATACATAATATAATCTTTATTTATTTTATTATATATAAGTTTATTTATTTTATTTTATTTATTTTACCTTGCTTCTTTATTTTTATTATCTATATTTATTTTCTTATACTCCTTTCCCTTCCTCTCTCATGTTCGATATTCTAGTTTAGACACACTAAAATAGGACTATTTGATTGGCTCTCCCGGTTTTAATTATTTATTCATGATTTCTAATATATCTTTCTTTCTCTTCTAGTATTTGATGTTTTAGTTTAGATATCCTAATTAAGATATATTTGATTGACTCTTATACTCAGTTTATTGATCAAAAGTTATAGTCTTTTACTGGATAACTTGATTATCCAGAGAATTACTTTCTGAAGTATACTAGATTAACTTTGATCCTAGCCAAGGCAGACTGTTATAATCACATAGAAAGCCTTATATTTAAGTTTAATATGAATTATGTATTTTTTTTAGTTTTTGAGCTAATAAGCTCGTAATACTCGTCTTCTACCAGACAGCTGAGTAGTTTAGATCTAAGTATTCAGAATCGGTTCCTGACAGCTGCCCCACATCTAACAGTGAGAGGTACCCGACCTTCACAGTCTCCCCGATGGTATGCGAGAAGCATCACACCAAATTGGATCGAAGGGAGCTATGCCACGAATACCCAGTAGAACAATACTGGACGCACATCGACAGGATCATCTTCTTCCACTGCTTTTACAGGAATGTCGCTCCCTTGATCTGGCCAAAAGTGAACTGGGCTGGATGAGGAATCGGGCTGTTTCCAAAGCCCAGTCAAACCGTTTAACAATTGAGACCACCAAATCCAAACGTCACCAGGGATGGCGAAGTACTTTGAGATCAATGTGCCGGGCACGGTCTCGGGGCCAACCTCTCCAGTACATACTCGGTGATCAGCCCTTTGGGGACTTGGACATACTGTGTAGGAAAGAAGTCCTGATACCTAGGTACTTCGTACATGATCGACCATCCCTTTATAGAATGTGCTAAGTGGGTAATTATCTTTCTAGGCCCGAAACTGAGACATTCACCTTTCACGCTGCCAACCTGATCTCGCGCAATGTCGTCAATGCCAGTCAATCTCTGATCAACCCTCATGCTATATCTGTACGTGTGATTGACCTGTGCACGGGAACAGGATGCATATCCCTCCTTTTGCATGCTCTTGTCGCGCCATATGTACAGCACTTGTCCATCGTCGGGATTGATATTAGTACTACAGCAATTAATCTGGCGAGAAGGAATTTAAAATACAATATCCGAAAAGGAAAATTGTTGGATCGAGCGATGGCGGATATTACTTTCAGAAAAGGCAATGTTCTCTGCGGTGCACCTGTTGATGCATCGAATGTGGAGCAAGCTCTGGGCGATACTCCCGAATCAACGCTGCGTACAGCGTGCCATCTCGATGTGATCATATCAAACCCACCGTATATATCCGAGAAATCATATGGAAATGGGACCACTGCACGAAGTGTTCGGATGTACGAGCCGAGGATTGCATTGGTCCCTCCAGTGTTCGGTGACGCTCTGAAAATACCGCTGCACCGGCAGGAGGATATCTTTTACTACCATATTTTGTCACTTTCCTTCAAGATGAAGGTGAGACTTGTAATGCTTGAATGTGGTGACCATTCACAGGGCGAGCGTGTGGCAGCTTTGTGCCGTGCCATGGCAACACAATATTTACAAGTGGACGATTTGTGCATCAGTATTTGGTCAGCTAATGATGGGACTTTGAACAACAGCGCTCACGAGGTTTCTGAGCCATGTATGGTTATAGTACAGAGACTTGGATTGGGGAATACTACGACCTGTGGTCAACCTCACCTCTGAATTGAAGTGGTAGCACATTGGCTCAGTATGATACACAGTGGAGACTAAAGTGCAGTCAAGTCAATTGTATGACCGAGGACTCACTTGTATGCTCTTCTATCGATAAGAAGGGAACAAGCACTGTGCAGTAAGTGAGCTAATGGGAATTCAGAGCAAATACCCTACCATGATGTAGGGCAGCCTGGCTGCGATCCTTTGATACAATAAAAGGTTATTATACGATCCGTTGATGGAGGGTTAAAACGGTTATCCATGTTGACCGCTGCCATTATTCGTATGGATGCCCTAAGTGGTGACATTGGACAGGTCATAAAGGAATTTTTGGATATGAACACCATAAATACATAGGAGCTGTATAAATTGTAATATAGTATACCGTGTTAAATCTATCAGGCCTCATGTTGAGACTCCAGCAGCCTATTGAGACCATTTGCTACACGAACGGGGAACTCACAGACCTGCGCCTCTCCCGGCGTAAAAGAAGACGTTGATTTGGGGACCAGTAAGTCTCATAGAACAACGGTATCGCCAAAATATATTCTGTCCTAATCATCGAATTCGCGATCCATACTCATAATCATAATATATATTCGGATCCTTCCGAGACCGTACAATATGTTTCACAATATGATAAAGTGTTCCACCAGGAACACAGAAAATAAGCGTCTGAAATCAAAAGCCATGGGTATCGCGAGTCAAAAGCATACCGAGCAGGCAAGGCCACTGGCGCATGTACAGAAGGGCAAGCCAGCATACAAAAAGGAGATGTTTGGATAAGTCACCCCATGTGAATGTGCATCAAGGAAGGTTAGAAAGTCAGCATGTAACCAATCACAGCAGCAGAAAAAGCTATAAGTTTTGTAGCACCCATCACCCCTGCTGTAGTATGGCCTCCACTCGTTGCGGATGGAATGCTAGTGAAAGTTGCACCAGTCGGGCCACCAATCCTTGCACCAGAGCCATCAACTGCCACCGTCGTGACAGGATTAGCGACTTTAGTAGCACCGGGCACAGAGTCTTCTCCTGTTCCAATTTCCAAGATGTCGTTTTCCGTCGCATCAAAGTTAGTGTTGGCGAGGGAAATCTCATTGTTCGCTAGGTCGTAGACAACGTACGCACTGCGTAGAAAGGTGTCCCCCAAGACAGCGGTACTATCACCAGCGGGGACAATTCCAAAGACACAAGCGCGTTCTCCGTCCTGAAATAAGAGATCTCCCACGTCGAGAACAAGCTCGTTTACCCCAACAGCAATAGTCGGCGATGAGAAAGTGTAGGTGATATTAGTGTTGTTTTGTGCCAGACTGCAAGGCACATAGCCAACACCAGAAGATTGTTCGTACACAACACTGAAATCATTATAGATGTCTTCGACGATGGAATCTGGAAGATATGTAAGGGAACTACCGGAATCAAGCAAAACGGCAGCCGGAAGCGCATCTGACGAGTAATTGCGACTGCTTGATCCCGAAGTGAAGGCGACCCCAGTAAGAGCGATTATGAATTCGGAATAGATGCCATTTACCTTCTGAATTGGAAGGGTTTGTAGTTCACCGTGATATTTCTTCGTATTCACGCCTCCAAAAAGAATGGAACCCGTATTGGCATCTAGATCGTTCAACCATAGGCTGTAAGCATTAGACTTTATCAAACCATTTTTCACCATTGCCCTAGGAAGGTTAGGATAGGCGCTATCACCGAAGCGGCCGACTTGGACCTCATTCGAGGTATAGCCGATGCCCAAAACACCCTCTATAGACAGGAGTCAGTTGATGATACACTAATACGAGCGCCTGTTGGCGCACGAGAATTTCGTGACTGGGAATTCCACATACCGGAGGAACTTGATGAATACCCGATACCAAATTGGAAGTCCTCCAACGTCGAACCACCTATATGGAGAGTATCGGTTGCGTAAACACCAGCCGCACCGGTTCCATCCGCATAGGATATATTGAAGTCAGACGAGACATATGTGTACGTTGTAGACTTGTCGGAATCGTAAGTGCCGGATGTACTGCACGGATCTGTCGACGAGGAGCAAAGCGTAGAATTCGCTGCGTTGCACCAAAGATCACTGCTCCCAGTGTCCAAAACCAGTCGTAGGCTCTGTTCCGGCGTTCCAAGGGTTATATTACAGAAATAGAGCGTTTCCTTTCATTGACATGTAAGCCAATACGCACTGGTACAAATCTAGGATCCTTCGCATACCTCATTATCCAGGGCCTGAGAAACAGTGGTTGTATCTCGCTTGCGTCTTACGCGGTCCCTCAATACAGGATCTGACACATCGTTGCGTTTGATATCTAGGGTCACAACAGCGGGCACTTCTCTTCGCTGAAGTATCAAGGCCTCTACTGTCTCGAGTGGAACAAAAGACACAGCAACCAAGAGAGACAGAACTCTCCACATTGTGTCCCCCACCCTTCTATCCTTTCTTCCCCGGGCTCAAAATCGCTCAGGTGCCGCAAAGTTGCGAATTTTATCTTGTGGAATAAATTTCCGGTGTGGGTTCTCCAATGGTGCTGGAGAAGAGCTGATATAGGATGATTATTCCGGCGTTCGTTGGTTAGAGGAATAGAATAGGAGGTTGAAGCGGACTGTGACGATATTATATTGCAATAGAGAAAATCTAATAATGAGAAAACGAATAGTTTCTGTTTTTGACCTCCACACATGCTTGAGGAGAGGGGGCATATTGCTATTATATTTGAACATAATACGTAGTAGGCAGTAGGCACACTGGGTTTCAGTTGTTGGTCCGGGACTAGTCGGCTGATTGACTCGGGCCCAGATCTCCATGCCCCACTTATTCCAGGCTGAGCTCTCGGACAGGACAGTATTATTCTGCTGTCGTCATCACCTGTGGGTCCAAGAAGATACTAATTCCGGATCTCTTCTCGAGAGACGCATAAGCACACAGGGTGATTCAATTAAAATACAATGTAGTATTGTACACGGAGTACAGGATCCCATCATTAGTCCAAGATAGTACTTTGTACAAGCTACCTAGCCTAAATTCTATCAAGTGTCATGCCCAAACAGTGTAAGCTAAGAGACTCCCTATACTACGCCACAGTTGCTTTTTTATTGTGTTGGGTCTTGGCATACTATTGTTAGAAGCATGGACACGGAAGTTTCAATGGAACTGCCATTTGGGCGAAAACGGCACGCCCGGACGGATTTGGTTTGCAAGCCATTTCCGGCAGTGATTCGGCTAGCTCGGGCGGGAAAGGAGAACCTTAACAGTCTCACTCTTCGGTTGCGCAAAATGTTTATGTAATGTTCAGCCGTAAACCGAGTAACTGGGCAGACGGTTTGGAGAACACCGAAGTGTGTGTGGCAGGTGCGGTGTACACCGCCATGATCAGATTACCTTTTCCGCAGCCACAATCGACTGGTAAAGGCTGTAACCGATATATCACGTGCGAGTCATTAATATAGTTAGATGTCTACTCATAGAGTTGATTCTTAGCTACCTAGTAGTCCTTTCACTTCTGGAACTGGTATGGCGGCCTTGGAGCACCCGTATATACTGCATGTACTGTGTATGTGGGCAGATCACTAGTGAATGCATGTTTGAAATGTGCATTTAGGTCTACAATTTCTCAAGATAATAGTCAACTTTCGCACCTAGTGGTGGTTATAAAAGAAGCGTTTTCGAAGCCGAGATCCGTATGAAAAACGTCCTGGTATCATGACTATGGATTTAATGTCGTTGGTGGGATGGACGCCACATTATACAACCAGTCTGCGCATATTGCTGTAAATATTGGCTATGCCGTTCTCCCGCAGTACCGAATAACATCGGATAGCCCACATGTTTACGTATACAACGAAGTAGCAAGGGATCTAATTTGTCGTCATCTGAAGTGGAGCATGTGAGATGTACTGTGCGCCCAGAACATGCACGTGGCACGGGGAGTCTCATTAGCCTGTGTGCACTCAATGAGACTTCTGCCTTGCTGTCTTCTCGTATTGTAGGGATGTAGCATGCTGGCATAGGCAGCAGCGATGAAACATGTGTTCTGGCCCAGCGCTAACCGAAAAAACCGATATCCTGAAGCCTAAAAGAGCCGCCACCAATCATTGCTTGAACACAGTGTGTCAAGTCATATAAGCCTTACAACATCTGTTTGGCAAAGTTCGTCGGTTATTCTTTTGGGCAGCTCCTAGCATGTATCAGTAAATGATATGAATTAGTAACGCATGGTAATCACATTGCCAACAATCCTGCCAGCACGGCTAGTTCACCGGAAATCATATGTACATCTGGAGAAATGGGGGAGGGCTAGAGATTGCAGAAACAAGTGTGCAAACAGCGAGGACGTAATGGAAAGGCGTAAACGTCGCACCAGAATATACCCTCACAAGCCCATAGCTTCTCTGACTCGTGTCATGGTCAGCTCAGCGTTGGCTCGAGCGGCTCGAGCACCTTTCTCTGATATGTCCTCAAGGTAGCCAGTCTTATCCTCCATCAGCGAGAAATATTTTTCTCTTACAGGCTGCAGGTGATTGGATATTTTATGGGCGAGGTTCTCCTTAAGCGCTCGCAGACTAGTTGACTGGAACTCCAGAACTAACTCTTCGCACGACCTTCCCTCGAAGTGGCTAAGAAGCTCCAGAAGATTAGAGACGCCCGGCCTACGAAGAGGATCGTAAGTTATTGTTGTTTCAGAGTCAGTAAGCGCCGCTTTAAGCTTTTTGTGGATCTGGCCAGGTGAATCAGTGAGCAGGATTCTCGACCGTTCGTCTACATGAGATTTCGACATCTTCAAGGTTGGCTCTTTGAGAGACATGACTCGTTTTGCAGGTGCTGATAGGTGAGATTGAAGTTAGTCAATATTCTCTACCGCATGCAACGAAACCATCATATGAAGGACACACATATAAGTGACTCTGGGGCTGGAAACACTGTGCCATAGACGTGATTGAAGCTGTTTGCTATGTTTCTGGAAAACTCAAGGTGCTGTTTCTGGTCCTCTCCGACGGGAACATGTGTAGCTCTGGGTTGCGTTAGTGTGTGATCAAATTAAATGTCGTGATAACGAACCTGTGTACTAGTATGTCTGCAGCTTGGAGAACAGGATACGAGAAAAGGCCGAGTCGCAGCCTTGACCTGGCCTCTGAGGTATCTAGAGTTGTGTCTTCAGGCAACTGGAGTTTGCTCTAATCCGTGTCAATGCTAAGGCCGTGACCTCCTCAGAAGATTCCCACCACTTTCTGTAATATTTTCATCGTCATGTGTGCTTACCTTCCACTGAGTCATTCGTGACAGGTATCCCATGGAGGCTACTGTGCACAGGATCCAGAACAATTCCGCATGCGCTGCTACCTAGTACTGTTTAGCGCGAGACTCCGTAAAGCAAATTAATCACATACAGAACTTTGGTAGAATATGGTTGAGCGATCGGGGTCAAGGCCAGCAGCTACTAGAGTAGCAAATGCTTCTTTTCTCCACTGTCTCAGCTGGGCGCTTTCTTGGGGTACTGTCAATGCATGCAGGTCAACTATGGAGAAGTACAAACTCGTCCCATCACTCGCGTCATCTTGTAGCTTTACCCATTCTCTTAGGGCACCTAGGTAATTCCCTAAATGCGGTACACCTGTGGGTTGGATCCCGGAGAAGATCGTTTTAGCAAAACGTGGTGAGCGTGGAGTTTGGCAACTACTCCATCTTCGGAAGTTGAAACTACTCGGCTGCCGACTCACCACCTCCAATTGGGGCTGAATCGAACTAGGCCGATGAGCTATTGTCAGGATGCGGCTATACCGACTTATGTTAACATGCATGGCTGTTCTTTTCATCACATGGAAGCCCGTTCCAAGGAGGTATATGCCCGAGCTTGTTTCGTGCTTTGCACAATTTCAGTCACGTGATTAACTAGACTACTAGTTGGCCCAGCTGTTGAATAGGATTGTCTAGTGGCTACTCAATGAATCTCATAAAGTACGTATAAGCCGTAACAAAAGACATGGCACCAAAAAATCCGACTTTCTCTAGCAAGAACTCATTATGGGAGGCTTATAGACAAAGCTATTTCAAGAAGTGGGACTGTCGGAATTGGCAAATTGGTACAAGATGATGAGAACTATGTGATATTATACAGAGTATTGGATGACATGGTGCCTATGCCTTGCGTGCAGTAGTTAAGGGGCCCCTGTATGCAACGAATCGTTCGTTGTCCAGGATATCCGAAATTGAGTCAGAAGATGTTGCATCTTGCCGCTGACCAAATTGTGAAAGGTAAGGCTGAAGCGACTTCTCGACTTCTTGAAGAGTGCTGTCCATGTTTGCAGCTACGTCTGTGACCACGATATAGTTAGTGACGTGGCGAACACAATCGAAGACAAAGCAAGGTAAGAATTGCAATATACCAAGGCTTTCATGTTCCCAAACATTTGCTTTCATGCCGACTCCGTAAAAAGCATGCTTGCGCAAGAATGCTAGCCATGTCTGTACAACCTGAGGGTTGCCGTCTTTGATTTGTACCAGGCGTCGGAGCGTAATTCTTTCGAAATTCTCCTGACTCTTTTTATGCACGAAGTTACTTCTAGGAACGGTCCATCGCTCAACAATTCGTGGCAGGGGCACCGGCCCCGAGACAGGGAGGTTCAGATAATAAGCCGCCCGCACGGCGAAATCGGCGAAGAATTCGACGTTCCGTACGCTGTAAGATCTCAACTGAAGATCACAAACTGGCAGGCCAAATTCGGCCTTCCTCCGGAGGGGTCGTAGGTACACAGCTTGAACGCTCCTGGGAAGTCGAGCCTTATTATTAATGCTCTCAAGGCGTTCTCTCCTAATCATGAGTGAGCGCATGTCATCGAGAGCAATTGAATGGAGATATCAGTCAAAGTTCAGACCATTGTTTCGTTTGCGTCTCGGTCGATTTCCTGTACGGACACACAAGTCAGCTCTCCGAAGTTGTTCAGGGTGGTCGTGAGAGCGCTAACAGTGCACTGGATTCAGCTGAACCTGCTGGGTGGAGAGTATCGTTCGTTGACGGTGCATGATGGGCTATCCCAGAGGAAGTGCTGTAACCTCTAAAACCTGCTAGTAACTGAAAGCTGTTGGTATGGTTTCGATAAAAGGGTAGGATGGGGGTGACGAAAGATTACCTGGAACTGCCTGCCAGTGCATTTAAGTAGCCGAGGGTTGAGGGATAATGTCATGGTTGAAATCAATGTCTGGAAGAGTTGAGTAGATGGAACACAAAGAACACTGCACCAAATCCCTAGGTCCGTAGTATTGCAGGGACCTTGTACATATTCACCTGAATACCTACAATCATTTTTGCATCAGGGCCCCAAGGATAGCGAGCGGAAGGCCACCCTTGATTGGCCACGAAGATTGACCGCCTTGTTTGCTCATCCGATCACATGACTATTTACCGGCTTCTGATACTATTACTAGTTGTGTGCTTTCTTGGGATTTGAAGAGCACAGTCAAGTTGATTCTAACGCTGTAGATATATTTTTTTTTGGCCCCGGTGTACGTTTTTTGACAATCAACCTACCCAGCACCACCACTATCGTGAAATTGGAGCGAGAATCATACTTCAAGCAATCATGACATCTTCTCTCAGCTCATCATTTCAACATGCAAGTGAGGCATGCTCATTCCTGAAGGAACGCCTACCAGATTCATTGAAAGCACCTCGAGTTGCAATAATCTGTGGCTCTGGTTTGGGAGGGCTCGCAAGTACCATTGATCGCTTGCCTCAAGTCGATTTCGATTATGCTTCCATACCCCACTTTCCCCGTTCAACAGGTAGCCGTGTCTTTACAATTCGAAAGCCGTGACGCTTTACGCTCATTTATCAAGTTGCTGGACATGCAGGAAAACTAGTCTTTGGACTACTCAGCGAAAATATACCTACAGTGTTGATGGTTGGCCGTGCTCAGTGAGGCTGCTCCATCAAGAGGGGTTATCTACTTAGCTTGCTAATAAAACTTCTTCTCAAAAGTTATTACGAAGGGCATTCCATTGACCAAGTGACATTTCCTATACGTGTCTTCAAACTCTTGGGGGTTGACACAATAATCTGTCAGTTATATGCTCTTTCTTCGTCGAAGCCCAAGTGATGTACTACTGATAGATTTACTGGTTCATAGTAACCAACGCCGCCGGGGGACTGAATCCTGAATATATGGTAGGAGATATTGTTCTGCTGAATGATGTAAGTGTATCACTACTTGACAGCATCCAAGCACAGGCTTAACACATTCAATTCTAGCACATATTCTTGGCTGGCCTAGCGGGGGTTCATCCACTACGCGGTCCGAACTCGGAGGAGTTTGGCCCCCGGTTTCCACCTCTATCAGATGCGTACGACCTTCAATTGCGTTGTAACGTCCACAAAGCATGGGCCAAGATTGCAAATGTCGAAAGCAAAAGAAGACTGCATGAGGGGGTGTATGCCTTCGTCGGGGGTCCTAGGTAAGCTTTGTCCATCTTGATAAGCTAATGACGAGAATTCTGAAGAATTTAGTTATGAGACCCGAGCAGAATGCCGTATGCTTCGCCAGCTAGGCGCCGATCTTGTCGGAATGTCGACCGTACCGGAAATTGTTGTTGCCAGGCATTGCGGGATTAGAGTCCTAGCTTTGAGCCTGGTAACGAATAACGCGGTTCTCTCACCAGTGCCTCGCGGAGACGACCACCGTCTTGATGGGAAAGATGTGGCAGAGCTCGGCGAGATTTTGCAAGAAGGAAAAGCGGACCATCAGGAAGTCCTTGAGGCAGGCCGCTCCGCCGCCACGGACATGCAGGTATGCACCGCATGACTCCCTCCAGTTTTCGCGCACTGATAGTAACTATCAATTCAAGAAGCTTGTTATACAAACCATCGCGGATGTCTTTCAGTCAGGTTCGTATGGAGATACGATCGGTGGTCAGTGAGCCAGCGCGAATGGGGAAGACTATTTGAGCACTGGGGCACAACTAGACGCTCCGGCAATGCCATAGACTTCAAATTGGGTTGCGTTTGTCCAGAGACTGGTCATTATGACTGTCTGAACAGAAGCCAATGCATTCACTTGCTCCTCGTGTTCCGTTTCGCTCGCAAATTCTTGTAGTAGGAACGTTTGCCGCTCTGCTTGACAGACTGGATGTCCTTGTACTTAGCCTCAAATCGCTTGTTTCCTTGCTCCGCTGCCAGTGCTTCTTCAACGAAAGTCTTCTTTCTATCCCTTTTAGCGATGCGGCTACTGAAAAACTCAGTCGGACCTTCGATGATGGTTCCCACTTGAGAATACTGAGGAGGGCGTGCTTTGCCGCCCTCCTTTTTGTAATGCCTCTTCGGGTCTAATACTGAGCGCATCCGAAGCAACTGCAGGTCTCTCTTGAGTTCTGTGGTCAACTCCGTCTTTGGAAGGTCGAACCAAGCGCTGCCAGCTGTGGGTTTGTCCTGAAAAGAAGACAAGTTAGCTATCGTCACCCATATAGGCAAAATAGCAAGATAGTAATGATGGGGATGATGCTCAGAGTAACTATGAAACAAAAATGTGTACTCTCATAGGCACAGCGCATCCCAGTACGGGATGTTTAGCTGCATCAAGCGCTTACGCGATGGGATTAATTTTCCTCATAGCATCTGTGAAAAACGACACAACAAAGGTGTTCAAGGGGAAGTAAAGCGTCTCACCTTGGAACTTGGCTTTGAGTTTTTAGATCCAGTCGATCGCATCTCGAGTGGCGATCTGATGCTGGGGCTATTCATTGCTCCCATGGCATATTCCACAACCGCAACATCATCTTGTTGACGGACATATGGTCTTAGGGAGCCCCCTGGTGCCAACTTAGGGATACTAAGCAACAACAGATTAGCTTTCGAAGGGGTAGGAGTTAGACGGGTCTACATACTGAACTGAGGTTGCTTCCAAACCCACATTGGTCAAGCTATCGGCATTGGAAGCATTGGTCCGAGTATCACTGGGCCTCAAGCGATCCTCAGCCTCGCAAAGCAACTGTTCAATATCTTCATCATTTAACCTGACCTCATCCTGTGGTGGGACACTGGTAAGTTCAATGCATGTTGCACCTGTCATGTCCTATAGTAGAGGATTCGGATAACTCGGGTGTGCACAAGTTAAGGTGAAAGGAAGACCAGAAAGTGGAAGCCCACAAGGTAAATATTTATAGCGTAAATTCAGGGCTACTTTCCTGTGGAAGAAGTTACAATTGCAAGCTCAATGGAAAATTTGTGCTGTGGGGCGGAACCTCACCTTAAGCCCTTGGCGACTAGTACGTATGTGGGGATATGCCTGCAATACCGGGCTATTATTATTCCTGTCATACAGTTTCGTTTTGGAACTGTTTCGGTATCAGTAGAAACTGTCTATCTGTTTCGCACGTCTTAACACCTTCAACTTACTGACTGACCGCTAATGTAACAAACCAACTGGCTCTGCATGCACAAGAAGGGCCGATAATCTTCTTCAAACTGTGGGTGTATATACAATTTGTCACGTCTATTCAGTAACTTGCCACTTTCCGGCGGTCGAGTGAAATTCTTCCGAGCTGCTACAGCTATCTAACAGTCCACTTCAAGGTACCGGAAATCAAATGTAGTACTGATTCATCATGTTACTAGTACATAAGTAGTGATGATGGCATGCCAATGGTTGGTTGAGTATGGATGCTAGTGTATAGCCCGTTTTGCAAGGTCCTGGCTATTGAGAGCTACTAGTAGTGTCGCTCGGTCCAGTTGCTTTGTATAAGATCTGAGTGCAGAGCACCAATGTGGCATGTGAGCGTCATAATCTCATAAAATCATGCCATCTTCTAGCGATTTATCACTCTGTACGATTAGGTTATTCGTAAACTGTCCGGATATTGTAAGCGATCAGCCCGATATATAAGTATCAAATTATGTTCTCAGAAATCAATGCATTGACTTAAGTGCCGTAATGCTGGCTGGAACTTAAGAGCCAGGTTGTGAAATTTGACACTTGATTCAAAACTATCCAAGCTCCCTGGGAATGAAAGTGAACAAAATCATGGATTTTCTATAGCTAGCACCGATCCTACGGAGTACTACTATGTTCACAGTAGAAAGTTTGGGTTGTCATCGACCTCCGCAGGGTCTGAATGCCAAGAGGCTTCTGCTAGCGTCACTCGGGCTGCGCTACGCTTGGCGCCGCGTCTTTGCCATGGTTGCACGCTACCTACATACAAGGGCATCGAAGCACAATCATCTGTTTGGCGCTTTCTATCTCCATTATCGATCTGTTACTTCATCAAGCTCACTGGGTCACTATACTTTACGACTTCGACGCCTTGACCCTCTTGGTAAATCGGCTAGCTTGCTTCTATCTAGTCTGTCGCGTCCCAACACCCCGCTATCGCGCCTGTTGAGATCGCTCTTTCATCGTTTGCCAGACGAGTCTGTAACAGTACTGTTGCGCACGTCTTATATCTAACCACGAGTGGCTGGGCTAGTCATTTAATCATGGAGCAAACTGCACAAACCCCTGGAACACAGCAGGGCAGGCAGCAGCCTGTGTACGACACCCGAAATGGTGGGCATTATGGTAAACATTCCTCAAAATCCCCAACGCGTGTTCATGTCTACATACACATATACACGTAAAAATCAACGCTCAAGGCTGATGGCATGTCCTTAGGTGCTAGCGCAGCGGTATGGTCGCCTTCAGAAGCTTACGAGTACGCCTACGTTCTTAAGGCTAACATGCTATATACGTCTAGCTTTCTGCGCAAGGCTATGCGCCTGTTGCCGAGCTCTATACCGGGACATGGGCGAATGTGAGTTTTCCAGATTGGTAGAGAATATAGCATGACTGACATTTCGCCAGGTCAACCAAGGCTTGCAGGGAACCGCCCGTGATATACTTACAACATACTGGCAGCACATCATCAACCATCTAGAATCGGACAACCATGATTATAAGATACACCAGCTACCACTTGCTCGCATCAAAAAGGTCATGAAGGCTGACCCAGAGGTTAAAATGATTTCAGCGGAGGCACCAATACTTTTTGCCAAAGGCTGTGATATCTTTATCACTGAACTGACCATGCGTGCATGGATTCATGCCGAGGACAACAAGCGCCGTACACTACAGAGGTCTGATATTGCAGCAGCACTATCAAAGTCTGATATGTTTGATTTCCTCATTGACATAGTACCTCGCGAGGAGGCCACATCCCATGCGAAGAGGTCTAGCCAGACAGCTGGAACTTCTGCGGGCGTTCCTGGCCCCGCAGGAGCCACCGGCCAACTGCCACCATCTCAACACGGTGTTCCCCATCACATGCCTCCGCCGGATTATAGTACCCTGGGTCAGCATGGGCTCCAAGATCAAGAGTATCGGCCGCCAACGATGTATGCTGGAGCTGTGCAGTCTGACCCCACGGCTGCCTATGGTCAGCATCAGCCTCAAATGTTCGAAGGAATGTATGCAGCATATCCGCATCTACCACCTCAGCAGGTATGTTGATATTATCACGAGTATCCCACCTCCTTTCTCGTCTCTTTCCTTTTCCTATTGTTCTAGCTGTTATCTACATTGGCTTAACCTTGACTAATGCACTGGACACCAACAAGTGAGTGATGATGGCACTCAAAAGTAGGCACAGCCTGAGCGGCACACCAGGAATATAAGTACAACGGCACCATGCCATCGTATCAGCTACCCGGTCAAGGAAGTGACCAGCTATGTACTGTGTAGCAACAGCTATGCGTTGCAAATGTTACGGAGTTATCATAAAGCAAATCTCATACCCACATATCTTTCAACACGTTTTTTTTGAATAAAATTGGTGCACTTGCTCGATGGTACATAGAATTGAAGTAGCCCAAGTAGTCAGCACAATTCATGACTTCTTGCCAAATCTCGAGGAGAGAGTGGAGAATTTATCTGCTTTTACGGGACTTTGAACGGTACGTATGATCCTTCTTGTTGGTTAGTAATAGTATCCAGGCTATGATGGTTGGTAACGCACTTCTCTAACAAGACGGGACCATGAATAGCGTCCACACGACCGTATTTCTTGTTCCGCGTGGATATATCATAGAACTCGTCAGTGTTATCTGCTTGCATCAATTGGACAGTCTGTTGCAGCTCGTCAAGGTTTTCTCGGAGTATGGGAACACCAAGACCATCAACAAATTGGGATAGGTATTCGACATCTTTTGCAAGAGCCATTACACCGTTTGGGTTAATCCTTTTCACCTCCGGAGAGAGAGGGAGTGCCTGACGGAGGTTAGCAGATAAACAGTAGATTTATCGCTTGGCGCTGCTTACAAGAATCATATTCGCGGCATGACTGAGAGCGTCGAAGTAGATAAGTTCTTTGATTTCTGTCGGTAAGCCGAGGAGCGTCGAGTTCATGATGTTTGACAAGAAGCGTGTTAGTGTTTGCATGTAGTTGCTAGGCTCGGCGGGTGGGACAGATGCCATCCAATCGTACTCAGCCGTCTCTATGAGGTCATCAATCTTGGAATTGACAACTTCAAAGATACGTTTCTCTGCTGCTTTCTTATTGCTTCTGAACTTCTCGGTAGCGTTCAAAGTAACCACGTCACCGGAGACATTCTGTGTTCGAGCAGCAGCGAGTAACAGCTCAAGTTCGCGACAGGCAAGCTCAAAATGCTCTAGGTTTATCAGAATCTGCACAATCTGCCCCAGATATTGTGAGGAAAGCCGTTCGACAAGGGTGTCGCAAACTTTGTCTGATAGGAGTTCATCCAGTGCCTAGAACGGTAAGATATGTGAAGGTATATGTGATATAGCATACTTACATCCCTTAGGGTTTCGTCAATGAGACTGGGGTGAGAGAAATCATCATTGGCAAAAAAGTAGAACTGGTTCAGAAAGTTGCGGATGTCGATGCAGCATAAGGGATACATTTGGGAAAATGGTAAGACACATGGAAACCTGCGCTATCGTTAGTGATGGTTGATTTAAGTGTCTTGAGTTGACAGTAGGAACGTACACTTGCTCCTCCCTTGGCTTGTCAGGGCTGTACCAACTGACATTCAGTACCTTGTCAAATTCCTCGATTGTCTGGATAGGCATAGGCATATAATCATCGGTCGATACTATCTTCACAGGTCTTAATATGGAGAAATCGAACCGGTTTGTAAGGAAACATACCTCTCGGAAATCGTCACTAAATCTTTTCTTGAGAAGATCGGCATATTTCCTAAAAAGAACCAAAAGAAAGTCATCGAATACCCCGACGTGAAAGTCCCAGGTCTATTTTCATATAAGTTAGTATGTCTCGGCAACATTCAGACTCAGAGGTCAACAGACATTCATTGTTTGCATGAACAATGCGATGAGATTTTTTATTTTCAGTAGGCTCTCAGCATTGTCAACCTCATGGAGAGCCCCCGATATCAGGATCACAGCTGTTTGGCACATAGAATCCCATAATTCATCGACCTTTACCAATTCGTTCAGCCCAACAGATCTACCCGTTCATTCAAAGAACAAACTCACATCAACAGAAGACCTCAGGTCCGGAACCCTCTTCATTGTAGACCGCTCGACAATGGCAAAGCCTGCCATTTCTTCGAGAAGATTGTGCAGACTAGCCCCGTCTTCATCAACAAGAGTAATGGAGGCTGGTAGCAAAAGTTCCTTCTGCCGACGCCGAGTATTAGCGTACTCAACTCGAAATCTATCCATATGCCCTAATGATCGATGAATGTGGAGGCATTCAAATAAAGGCGTAAAGTCCACTTGAAGTTCCTCGTTTTGCAAAAGATCGTACTCTTCGCTCTCGTCGGATACCAGCTCAATCGCCGAATTGAGCTTGAATTGACCAAGATATGGAGATATCTCTGTCCGCTCCTTATGCCTGGTCTTTCGCAAGTCTGTATGATATAAAGCGATCTCCCCGAGGTACTGCGACATCTCTCGGATTCGGTATAGCCAAGTATTAAGGTCAGACATGACAGCTTCAGCTATCGCTTTTTGTGTTGTTGGGACTGAGCGCTGAATCATGTCCGCAATTTTATACTGCGTCACCCCTTTAAGATGGACATTTTGCAATTCTTCTAAAGCGCGCAGTGCGGCATAATGATTCTTCTTAGCGAGTAGATCATGGACTTGATTCGCGAGACGCAACACCTCGAGACAGTCCTGTATAGCTCTAGAAGTCTCATCGATGTTCTGCCTGTGACTCCGTGATTCTACCAGAGCTTTCTTTTGTTCAGC